CAGGGACGGGCCCGCCCCAGGCTCTGGCCGCCCAGCCTCCCCTGCGATCGAAGAACAGGACTTGTGCCCTGGCGGCCGGTCGCCACGATTTTTGCCTTGGGTTCCGGGTGAAGAGCGAGGCCCGCTCCGGAGCCTGCCTGCGCCCCCTATTGGAGTCGCCAGAGTGTGCGGCGGACCCCGCACTCTGCCCCCGACTGCGGACACGAGGAGCGCAGGAACTGAGAACTCCAGGGGCCGGGGACTACGGGCTTATCCCCGGAAGCCGGGAGCAGTCTGCCAGGAAAACCCTGTCCTGGGACTGCTCAGGCTCCCAAGACTTGACGCAGCTCCCCACTTCTGGAGGAGGGCCTCTGGGCGGATGGGTGTCCCCTGGCGCCCCTCGCCTCTTTTTTTCTCTCTTTTTTGGGGGGAGAAACTTCGGAATTTCTATGAGACACCCCCCAGGGAGCGGGTCAGTTGGGCCCTCATCCCTCCCCCTGCCACACCCCAGTCCCGTTGGAATAAAAAAAGAACAAAACCCCCAAACCGGGGATACCCCGAGTTCATTTCCTGGGAGCGTGAGGGCATTAAAGGCTTGGACCGCCTGAGGAGTCTGCTCAAAACCACAGGCTGGATGGTCACTTTTGCACTCTCCATCCTTGGCCCTGCCCACAACCAGCAGGTCAGCCCAGGTCCCGGCAGCTGGCCCGTTTCCACTGACCTCTCAGGACAGAAGGAGGCTGCGACAAAGACCCGGAGACAGATGGAGAGAGATGCGGGAGTCTGGAGAGGCGGAGACACCAGGAAACACGCAGAAAGACAGAAACCAGATGGGGCTGGGGGAGGGGAGGACAGTGAACTGTTCAGTGTGGTGGTGCCTGGGGGCCGTGTGCTGGTGGTGTGTGCCTAGGCAGGGATGATTGGCGACGTTGCAATCATGCGCATATGTGTGTGTACATACATCCACGAGGCCATCTTCAAACGTCTGTGGCTGACCCAGTGTGTCTGCTGAAAATGTACCTCCCCAGCCCCCAGAGAGGGAGGATAAATCCCCGCAGAGAGGGAAGAGGGTGGGTCTGTTTTCTGTCCCTCCCTCCCTCGCCCAGCTGGAGGTTTCTGTGGAAACTGCAGCTGAGAAAGGACGAGTGAAGGTCACACAGTGAGAGCCAAAACAAGGCCGAGTAGGAGGGGAGAGGTGGGGGAGAGAGAGAATGGGAAGAGACTCAGATGGGGGGGGGGGTGAGGAGAGAATGAGGGGTGCAGAGATGGATAGGGAAGGAGAGTTAGGGGCAGATGAGGTGAAAGGATGAGAGAATGGAGGGCAGGAGAGGGATGGGCGGAGGGGGAGACAGGAAGCAGGGAGGGTAAGATACCTGGGAATTGGGGCTGAGAGAAGCAGGGATTGAGGTGGAGCAGAGACAGGTGAGAGACAAGAAGCCATAGGAAACTAGAGGGTGACCGGAGGGGCCTAGAGCAGTGAGCGAAGCCAAACAGGGACAGCGCGAGGGAGAGAGGCTGGCCCTGCCCCTGTGGCCCAGAGCAGGGAGCTGTCCGTTCAGCACCGGACCGGCTGCCGCACTGCTCTGCCTCCCTCCCCCGCACACCCCAAGATACCTGCCTATCACACAGCACCCCCAGTCCCCATTGAGCCCCTTCTGTATCAGACACTTGCCCTCAGGGACAAGTGTGAGAGTGAGCTTGTGTCTCAATGGTTCTGTTGTCTCCACATGTCTCTTACAGACTCTAATCGATGTCTCTGCCCTTGGCCCGTACTGTGAGTCTGTCCAGTGACTAGACTACATCTGCAGACATTTCTAGTCTCTCCCAGTCCTGGTCCCAATACCACACTGCTGATCATCTCTGGGTTCTTCCCATTTCCGAGTCTCACCCGCACCCCCATTTCTGCTCGGAGTCTCTCCAGTCTTTATCTTGGAGTGTCTCCAATTTTTTAACTGTCTGTGTCCCTGTGTCTGTGTCACCTTCACTGAGTACTTCTATTGCTCTGTCTCCCTCCATCCATTTTCTCATCTCTGTTTTTGTCCATCTGTATCTGCCTCTCTCTGGTCCTGGACTATGTGTCCATTTCTCCTCTTAGGTGCCCCTGTCTCTAGTGCTGAGTTCCCCTGTCGTTGTCCATCCCTGTGACCTTCCTAAGTCTTCCCCCCCAATTCCGCAGAGCACCATGCACAGTCATCAGTCTCACCAGGGTGGTGCCTGAGGAGGGAGTGCGTGTCTAGCATGGGGTGTGGGGACCAAGGCTTCCCGAGCCCAGCTGGAGAGTAGGAGGAGAGAACCTAGAATCTCTTGGGACCCAGACACCTCCAGGC